TTTTTTTGCAACAGATGTCCTGTGCTATTTGTTATATTTCGTCTCAAGTTTCAGTCCAGCAGATATAATAGGAAAGAAAAATTATGATTTTAGCAATGAGTGGATTTTTTCATCTTTTCACAGTTCAAGATTCTTTAAAAAAGAGGCATGTTAATTTTCTTATATGTCACACACACTGCATAGTATTACTTTGAAGATGCAGTCTTTTCTGTTCTGTGAATGATTTAATTTAGAAACCACAGTATTACAGCACTGCAGATGTACCACATACTTTTATGTAATGATTCTGATTCAGGAGGGCACGTCAGAATATTAAATTCTGTTTCCTCTCGGTTAGTTTGGTATCAGAACACAGCAATGTTTGTAACAGCGAAGCCACCACCTACACTGGAAGGAAACCAGTAATCATGTTGAATTGGAGAACAAAGAGAGGAAACCAATGTCCTCTTAACTCGTCCTTAGAATTCCTAATCATGTGTGTGTAAGGATAGGCATACCCAGTTTTGGAGAGGTAGTAAAGAACTACTAGGAGAACAAACATTATACTAATAAAAGTAAAGTTTCTTGATTGCTCTGATGCAGTTTAACTGAATGTAAATGACAGAGACCTCAGAACACATCACACCACTGAAAAGTCCCACCCATGTAATATCTTGACTAGAGCCTCCTGACAGTCCTTACCGAAGCTGGTTTTGTTTTTAAAAGCATCACTTAATGAAATACAATTGGATTGAAGTAAATTGCAGTTTCTATGTCTCTTTTGAAAATGTAGTTGTACATAGGAGCCTCATAGTCACAGTTCAGTTAGGATGAGGCACACTGGCACTACTCACAGCCTGCACTTGGAGCTGCAGGTCATTTTTCTCCTGAAGCAGGACCACCATTTTCTCCTCCAGCTCCTTCCTCTTGGCCTCAGACTTTGCAAGCTCTTCCTTGGTTTTCTCAAATTCTTCCTTCATGTTGGCCATCTCCTTCTCAGATTCTGCACTCTTCAGCAAGGGCTTGATCTTGAAGAACAGCTTCATCCAGGGCCAGTGCTTGACATTCATGAATGCACGAACATTGTATTGAATACAGAAGATGGATTCCCTGAAATGAAATTCACACGGCTTTTTCATAGCTTCGGTGTGATGAATTTAAACTTTATTCATCCAGTACCATGAGAACAAACTAGGTATGAGAAATGTCTACCTTCTCTCCACCATTTTGCGATACTCCACTCTCATCAGGAAGCCCCTGCATCTGGCTTGTGTCATGGTCATAATCTCTGCTAGTTTCTCATCTCTCATCTCCTCCAGCAGACCTACCAGCCCGGCTTTGAAGAACACCTTAAGAAAGTGAACATTGTAGCACTTCAGTCTCAGTGCATAACACAGGCACAAAGTGTTTGAATGCAGTACTTGTTTCTACCTTGGTGTGACCAAATCTGTACTGGGTGTGGTCCACATCAATGGACCCAAGAAGCTTCTCTGAAGCCTTCTTGCTATCTATGAACTGGCCTTCTGGAATAGCACTTGCATTAAGAACTCTGTATCTGTAGGAGAAAGCAGAATATGAAGAAATCCACATTACTGAAACCACCAGTGCAACTGAACTTCACAGTGCTCTCAGCAACAGCTGGCTGTCTGAATGAGTAATGTCATGAATTAGGGACAGTGCATTCTTTTAAGAGAGTGTAAGTGAACTTTTCATACTGTTAAATCAGAGTCCAAGAGAATCCTCAATATAAAATAAATCATAAACTCACAATAAATCATACTTCTGTTACTACTTAGGTCGTTTTTGAAATGTAATATTTCAAGTCTTTTTAAGATACTCAGGCTATCATCTTGGTTTGAGTGGGGAGAAATGTGTAGCCCTCTTACCTTTGTTTGAAGTCAGCATACAGGACTCTGCTGGGGAATCCTTTCCTGCAAATTCTGATCCCTTCCAGCACACCGTTGCATCGCAGCTGATGCAGCACCAGCTCATGCTCCATGGCGCCTAACAAACATCACCATTACTGACTGCCCCATTGTTTGATACTCAGGAGAAGAGCTTCTGTGGCTTGAGTTTTCCTCCTATTATATCCCCTTACCAGGTGTTTTTGTTTCATTTGGGATGATGCATCGTACAAAATGGGGGTGAGTGCTGCGTAGATTTGTCATCAGCTTGTTTAAATTCTCCTGTGAGATGATTACAAGGTGAAGTTTAGATTAAAGCTTGTAAGCACTGCATGCTCATATATTATGTGCATACAAAAACTGAATCTTTCAGTGTTTTTACCTATCAAAAATGCATTGTTATGTTGGCATAAACCTCCTTTAATAAATATGGATCAGAGTCTGCTCAGGGAATTACAGGCTTGTCTTCTCATTGAAATTCTACTCAGCTCCTGTGCTGTTTCAGTGGCTATTTCTAATAATAAGGTAATGAATTCTGCCCTTACCCGGAAAAGAGCTGAGACAGTCTGGAAAGAAGACCCCTTCTTCTTGCCACCCTTCTTGCCACCACCAGCCTCTGCAAAGTTGATTTAAGTGAGCAGATGCCTTTAATATTGTCTTTGAGATTCCCCTTTGAACAATATGAACACACCGAACATGGATTTAACAGAGCTTACCTGCTTCCCCACCATAGCTGGCAAAGAGTAAGGCCAGTGTCTTCACAGATGATTTCTGATACAACCCAATGACAGTTTCATTCAGGGGGTCTTTGTTCTTCTCAAGCCAGCCAGAGATGTTGTAGTCCACTGTGCCAGCATAGTGCACCAGGGAGAAGTGGGCCTCAGCCTTGCCTTTGGCAGGCTTGGGCTTCTGGAAGTTGTTGGACTTGCCCAGATGCTGGTCATAGAGCTTGTTCTTGAAAGAGGTGTCAGTTGCCTTGGGGAACATGCACTCCTCTTCCAGGATGGAGAAGATGCCCATGGGCTGGAACGTACCACAAGAAGTAAGTGACAAAAATAATGATGTGAAACATGTGCTAGGACCATCAAAGGTGCGAGTGTGTTGCTGGTAGCATCTAAGCCTGGACAAGGGCCTGAGTTTGTCAGGAGGTATTCTCGACCAAGGAGCTTATTTCTGCCTTCCCTTACCTTCCTGCAGCCTGTCTTAATGCAACTAGCAAGAACGTCTGTCTGGTTCAGGTTAGAATTGGGAGTAGAATTGGAGAGGGAAGTGGTAAACAGAAAAATAATTGTGAAAATAGCTACAAGAGGCCCAGCTGTTTTGGGAAATCAGGTGAGATGATATTTATTTCCCAGATCTGTGTGTGGAGTTCTGATCTGAGTCTTCAGAGGAAAAAGGAAAAGAGACTGACTCTGGTTTGTTTTAAAGAAGTCTGTTGGTGGGAGTCCAGGCTACCTTTTCCATGCTCGAAGACCAGGTAATGCAGGACTGATGACACACAGATTTACTTTTCCTAATTTCTCTCCCCCAGACTAAAACAGATCTCAGTGCAAAATGTTTGGTTTAACTGACACTGAACATCTGGCCGTAAGTTCTTTCTGAGAAGAATCCGGCTCAGAAACATCACAGAATCCCAAAATACATTGTACGCTTGAATGGAAAAGGTACCTTCTCAATGAGCTCAATGCAGGCAGCCAGGTCCATCCCAAAGTCAATGAACTCCCATTCAATTCCTTCCTTCTTGTACTCCTCCTGCTCCAGCACGAACATGTGGTGGTTGAAGAACTGTTGCAGTTTCTCGTTGGTGAAGTTGATGCACAGCTGCTCAAAGCTGTTGAACTGCCCAAAGCAAGGAGTAGTGCACAGGTTCTCAATGTGTGAGAAACACCACCGGGTTTTGCTAGCCTTCTCCTAATGCTGTTTGAAGTTCCCCAGATAGAACACCACTCCAACAGCGTGTGTTTCCTTAGCAGAATTTCTGTTGTAAAACTTACTGTCCGTGAAGGAATTTATTGTTCTTACTTTTGAAATCAAGCTCAAAGCCACATTTCTTTTTTACTGTGCTACTCAAAAGCAAATTCTT